TTTGGTAATCTCTCTTGTCCTTGTTGATATTAAAATGAGTAGGGGATTGTTGGACCATTTTAATAGCTTTAATTTATTTATTTATATATTTTGTTCGTGAATCTTCATTTGTCTTTGTTCATGAATCTCATTTTGTTTGATGAATGGAGATTCAATGTTTTGGTGACCTTTTGTCTTACTCATGAATGGAGATTAATTGGAGTTCATGAACTTGGTGGTGAGTTAATATTTGGAGACTCTCCATTTTTTCTAGTTTAATGGTCATTATTATTTTTGGTATAAATTGTAAGGTCTTAGTGGCCTATAAATAGTTCCTCTCATCTACTCTTTTCTATACCGACTATTTTTTACTTAAGAGATTACTAGCAAAGAATGGTGTTTTTCTTGGTGGAGCTTTAGGTTCACCATCTTGTGCAGAGTTGGCCTGAACCAAACAACAAGTGGTCGGGCTGTTGTATTCTAGAGAGGACAAGTCATAGTTTTGTGACTGTTGCATCGATATTTGGATTGTTCCTACCGCAGTGGACTTGATCTCCTTAAAGAAAATGGGATATCTGTGTCTCAGCCTAATCTATTTGTATCTCATTTTCTTTGCATTATTTATCAATAAAATATAATTTTTCTGGTATTTTCACCAACACTTTGTTTCATCACTATTTGTATTCTTATGTGTAGGCCGAGACCGTTAAGGAGCAAAGCTGAACACGAGGCATTTGTGAATAATATTATTGTAAAGTTATATTTGAAAATTAGTTTTGAAAACATTGGTAATATATGATAATTTTGTGAAATTCTCATTTTGTTTGAATCTATCAATGGCATCCTTAAATAGTCCCAGTCATTTAGAGGACAGTCTAAATATACCATGACAATGTTTAAGCTCCACCACCACCGAAGTGTGGATTGTCTAATCGTACCTAAGTCGATTATTCTATTAAGAGGCTCTAATGAATTTACCATGTATCATGCTTTGTTTATGAGATAATCTTATGAAATGTATGAATGTTACAGGAATTGACTCTTTACTAGTGAGCTTGGAATTCATTCATTTACCACTTTACTTTAATATTATTCAATGGGTAATAGCTCACCCCTCACTTTATATATATGTAGGTGCAAGAGAAATATTCTGAAGAAGATAGCTCTGAAGAGTTTTTTGTATATATGCCAGAGTTAAAGAAGTTGTAATTAGTCATGTATATGTTGTATCTTTCTTTCAAGGAATGTGTAATTAAGAATGATGTATGTTTCATTTCATATAGCTAAGTACTGCTCTGAATGGATGTCTTAATGAACTCACTGGACTCAACCAATGTAATTAATAGCTTCCACAATTTAAAACGAGATTTACCCCAATAAGAGTCCAGCTTGATTTGATATTTGTTTAGTTAGGTCTTTGGTAGTCAGGGACTACTAGCCGATCACTTCATTATATTGTTTAGGGCGGGTTGGGGTGTTGCTTTGTCACCCTCTTTTGTATATGACACTTTACCTAAAATAATGTTAAAACACTTGAGAGAATTTAAGAAAACATTTAGTTAAGCTTAAACAAACGGTTCGTTAAGATAATGCAAGTAAAGTTAAGAGTTTCAATGCTTGTTCTTATTTTGTGTAGGTTAAGCTTTGAAGAAGATACACTCTCGTTTCTGGAACCATTTGTGAGTTGTAATTCAGTAACGCTATATTTGTCAAATTATATTTTCAATGCAAAATTTGATTATGTTTACAAGTTTTAATATGTTTTGTTATAAATGAACATTATATACTCTTTTATCATATATTTAGATAACATTCATAAATCATGGTCCACAATTGAGGGAATATCCAATCATGTATGATGGCCAGGTTCACTTTATTACATTTAGCGAGTACCTGAGCCGGTTAAACATGTAATCCCTGAAATGTTCATCACTATGTAATGTTTGCAAGTCAAGTATGTATTTCCTTATTCAAGTTAAAGAAATGAATAAGTTATGTTAAATGTTGTATTTATAAAGCTCATTAATGTTCATTTACTTACCGCCTTACTTTATTACTATTCACTAGGCAATGGCTCACCCTTCTTCCTTATATATATATATATATATATATATATATATGTAGGTAACGAAAAATTCGAGTTCGAAGAGAAGTTAATTACAAGTCGGTCTTATGTGTTTATGCTAATTTTGTAAATTTATGATATAAGTGTTGTATTGTAATTCATTATTGAAGTCCAGTAGTGATGTAAGATAATAATCCAAGAATGATTTATGCTTTTATTTCATGTAATTATGTACTGCTTTGAATGGATGTTTCAAATGGACTCAATATAAAAAATAGTGGTTTCGGCACTCAAAAAAGAATAAAATTTGCCCCATTTATCATACGAGTCCTTGTTATTGTAAATTAGGTCTACGGTAGACCAGGACTACTAACCAATCACTACACTATCCTGTTTGGGACAAGTTCAAGTCGTGATAGAGTAGTATCACTTGACAAAAAATTTAGGAAAAAAATAAAATCTGCCATTAATAAATCATAATAGTAGCATCCAAATTTCTATACAATAACCCATCACAGAATTATTAATTTTTTTATTTACTTTCAATTTAAAATCATCAGTCTATTTTTTGTTTTTAAAAAAATGATAGAAAAAATAGTATTTTAGCTATGAAATTTCATGAAAAAATGTATTTTAAACATTTTATATATTTTTAAATTAAGTTTAATGGCTAAAACATTTAACTTATATGTACATAAAATATCTAAAATATTAATTGAGTTGATTCACCCCAATTATTTCCACCCCAACTGTTACCTTCACTCATATTTGACAATCAGTGTGAAAATTGAGCTTTGTTCCTAAACAAAAAATAAACAAAAACCAATTTATAAAATTTTTGTAAATATAAACTGAAAACGTAAACGTTACCAAACACACCCTAAGAGTTTCAATGCTTGTTCTTATTTTGTGTAGGTTAAGCTTTGAAGAAGATACACTCTCGTTTCTAGAACCATTTGTGAGTTGTAATTCAGTAACGCTATATTTGTCAAATTATATTTTCAATGCAAAATTTAATTATGTTTACAAGTTTTAATATGTTTTGTTATAAATGAACATTATATACTCTTTTATCATATATTTAGATAACATTCATAAATCATGGTCCACAATTGAGGGAATATCCAATCATGTATGATGGCCAAGTTCACTTTATTACATTTAGCGAGTACCCGAGCCAGTTAAACATGTAATCCCTGAAATGTTCATCACTATGTAATGTTTGCAAGTCAAGTATGTATTTCCTTATTCAAGTTAAAGAAATGAACAAGTTATGTTAAATGTTGTATTTATAAAGCTCATTAATGTTCATTCACTTACCGCCTTACTTTATTACTATTCACTAGGCAATGGCTCACCCTTCTTCCTTATATATATATATATATATATATATATATGTAGGTAACGAAAAATTCGAGTTCGAAGAGAAGTTAATTACAAGTCGGTCTTATGTGTTTATGCTAATTTTGTAAATTTATGATATAAGTGTTGTATTGTAATTCATTATTGAAGTCCAGTAGTGATGTAAGATAATAATCCAAGAATGATTTATGCTTTTATTTCATGTAATTATGTACTGCTTTGAATGGATGTTTCAAATGGACTCAATATAAAAAATAATGGTTTCGGCACTCAAAAAAGAATAAAAATTGCCCCATTTATCATACGAGTCCTTGTTATTGTAAATTAGGTCTATGGTAGACCAGGACTACTAACCAATCACTACACTATCCTGTTTGGGACGAGTTCAAGTCGTAATAGAGTAGTATCACTTGACAAAAAATTTAGGAAAAAAATAAAATCTGCCATTAATAAATCATAATAATAGCATCCAAATTTCTATACAATAACCCATTACAGAATTATTAATTTTTTTATTTGCTTTCAATTTAAAATCATCAGTCTATTTTTGTTTTTAAAAAAATGATAGAAAAAATAGTATTTTAGCTATGAAATTTCATGAAAAAATGTATTTTAAACATTTTATATATTTTAAAATTAAGTTTAATGGCTAAAACATTTAACTTATATGTACATAAAATATCTAAAATATTAATTGAGTTGATTCACCCCAATTATTTCCACCCCAACTGTTACCTTCACTCATATTTGACAATCAGTGTGAAAATTGAGCTTTGTTCCCTTTTGATTCTTCTTTCTCCTTGCCCAAATCGAAGAAATGAGAGTAAATTGAAACCCTAGTGGAGATTTGGGAGTTATATATGGGCCTGGGGTCAAACGACGTCATTTTCAGATGGATTTGGCGTCAAAAATTGAGTTTTTCGTTAGTTCAATAAACGAAGATGAATAGAAGACGTAAATTGTGACACAGAATGAAATTCATGATTTAAATTGATGAAATTGAAACCCTGAGGTTTAATTTGAAAAATATGTGAAATTTTGATTTTTTTTTTATTTTATAATTTGCTCAACAAATTTTTTTTAAATAAAAAAATTAGAAAATAAATTTGGCTTGGTTATAAAATTTCATTTTTTAAATATTATTTTAATATTTATTTCTAAAAAACTAATTGGTAAATTGCAGTTACACCTCTTAAGATTTGGGTTTAATATATATCACCCCTAACATTTAGGAAATCACATTAACCCTTCTTTCTGTCATTGTAATTATTTAGACGGAATGAAAATATTGAACTTATGCACTCTCACTGTTCTTATTTTGCTTTACTTTCTCCATTTTTTTTTCTCCCATTTTCTTTGCTTTATTTTTTTTCAATGTAATTTTCTCTATTTTTTTTATATTAAGAATTGTTGTTTTTTATATAAGTCGGGGGTTTATAAAATGAGACTACTAACCACAAGAGTGAGAATGTAATTTCCAGAAAGTCAGGGGACAAGATATAATTAGACCAAATACCAGGGGTGTCAGTGTAATTTATAAAAATTAAAAAAAATCTGAAATCTTACGAAAATTCTCTGTTCGTTTTCCCTTCGAGCGGTAAAAAAAAAAATTAAAAAATTAAAAAAAAAATCGTTCGTTTCAATCTGCAACTAGGGTTTGGTTAGATTCAGTGAAGAAGAAGAAGAAAATCGAAGACGGCCGGAGTAGCTGCATCAGGACTCAGCCCCGGCTTCCGCCTTCAATCCACCGACATCCAGGCCGCCCTCATGTGGGGCGTCGCCGCCACCACCACCGCTCTTTGGCTTATCCAGGTCCCTCTCTCTCTCTCTCGGAGTTTCGATCTGCACTTTTGACATTTTGTGTATACTGAGTTTATGTGTTATCAACGTTTTGTTTTAATTTTTCTTTGTTATACCTCTGAATTCATCTCAATTTAGAATCGTGTTTTTGTGTTATTGTTGATTATCTTTTTTTTGAATTTTCGTGCTATGAAATGAATTGCGGAGTAGTATATTGTTAATCACGATTATGGACATTTCATATTACCGATGTCTTATTCACTGCTTTACAAATGTACATGTACATACAAATGCAAAACGATTTATGTGAAAAAGCTTGCAAATTTCATCAAGGATTAGTTGTCTAATCTTTATTGCTTCACAAGGACTACTTCTAATTCAAACTTGATTCCTTATGCATTTTAGTTTTGTATTAGATTTAGAAATATGGGTAAATTACACCCTTTGTCCTCTAACTTGAACAAAGTTTCACTTTGGTCCTATTGTTTCAGTTTAAACCCCACACTTCCAATTGCATTTCAATGTGGTCCTTCCTTTTTTAGTTGTTATTATTTTGGACGGAAAAAACCAGTCAATTTTAGCAATTTTCGCATAAGAAGAAAAATTAATAAATTGTCCCTATGTTTTCTTTTTTCCCCCTAAATTTTACTTTGCTTCCTTTAGTTTTGCATGTGTCATTTTTTTCCGTCCAAAATGTTAATGGCAACTAACAGAAGGATCACACTAGAATGCAATTGAAAACATGGAGTTTTAATTGATGAAATTGAAATTTCGGGGACCAAGTGAAATTTCGCTCAAACTAGAGGGACCAATTGTGTAACTTAATCCAGAATTTTATTTATTTTTTATTTTTTATTTTTTATGTAGAGCTGGAAATGATCTTAGTTTGAGTTGCTTAACCATGGTTTGAAAAATTAACAAGTTTTATGACGAAGCTTAAGCTTGAGCTTGGCCTTGGCATGTTTGTTTCTCAAACAATCTTGAGTGGAGCTACCATCCATGTGAGCAAATCTCATTGCAAGCTGGATTACCTGTTTTCATAATCAGTCTCAATTGATTTACATTTGAGAAATATGATCAAACTCTGCTCATTTATCTTGCAGGCCTTTCAACAAGTTGATCATTAATCAAACTCAAGTATCTCACATCACAGCCCTTATGGTTCTTGGATATCTGAAGGACAGGGTCAGCAAATTATAACTAATTGGGCTCCCCTCTCATTGATCACAGTGCGTTCTGGATATTATTACTTGTCATTGATAATACTTGTCTTTTACAATTACAATGTTCTTGTTTCTGGCTACAAATTTGAATTCATTGGTGGCCTTTGGCAATACCATTCCCTTTCCAATGATTCATGTTGGTGGGATTATTTTTGATCCAGCAATTGTGTAGTTGTCCAGCTTTCAGTGATTTGTTCATTGACACTTTGTTAAATGAATGCTTACTACTCACCCAAAAAAGAAATAAATGAACGCTTACGGATGCTTATTTCTGTGTCATTTTGTATTTTTAATACATATGCTGGGATTTTAACATTGCGATTTTTGACATCTCTTCTATTTTCCCTTGTGTTTTTCAATTTGTGTTAAAATCTTGTTTCTCATCTTTTTTTTAATACTTACAGCCTTTTGATTGGTTGAAGATGACATTTCTTGAGAAATCAGATTCAAAAGCAAAGTGAATAGAGATGTGACATTTGGTTGGTAAAACTCTCTGATATTTCTCGAGTTGCTGATGAGAAAACTATCAACAGAGTTGATTTTGAATAATAGTTTATTTTCTTGCTTCTTGTTAGCGTCACGTTGAGGCCCTTTGGGTGTTCTATTCTGGGAGAAATGGATAACCTTGCTTCTTACGTGTGTGTGTGTGTGTGTGTGTGTGTGTGTGTGTGTGTGAGAGAGAGAGAGAGAGAGAGAGAGTTTTGTTCTAGGCATTTTTGTTTGCATGAATTTCTTATGGAGGGAAAAAATTATGTTCATAGAAAATGAGAACAATGTGAAAGAAATATAAGTTAAAAAAATTTTCTGCCTTCCTTTCTTTTTTTAATTTTTTATTTAAATTTATGATGCAAACACAGCGGAAAGATCTAGTGCATACCTTAAAATGTGGAAAAACAAGTGGTTGGTGAATACTGCAAATGGAGCAATTCAAACATTTGGAGGCAATAAAAGTTGGGAACATAGCATTGATCTACGCCTGCCTATTAATAGTAATATCTGCAAATGGAGCATTGCATAGGTTACTTCTAATATTAGCTTTTCTGAGTCTCAAGTGGTGGATGGATCAAGTTTGAGTTAGAAAATTAAATGAGTGTTTTTAAAAAAATATTTAAATTTAAATTGTTTACTTTTAAGGGGATTTATTAAGATTTTTTTTTTTTTCAAATACTTGTGTTTCAATTAATTCCTAACATATTCTTATATTTTAATAAATTTTATTATTTAAACATTTGATCTACTAAAACACAATTATCATATTTAAGGTATTTTATGAATAATTTTATCCTTATAAATATTTTTGAACGCTTAGTAATTAGATGGTGTGAACATTCATATTTTATAATGTGAATATTCACATTGACAATGTAAATATTTATGGAACGTTCACACTGTTAATGTGAATATTATTATTAGGGATATTTTGATAATTATGCCACCAATAGGACTTATGAGAACATAAGAAAATAATTGGACTAAGTAGAGCATAAGTAAATGAAAAGAGATTTATGAATAGGAAAAGACTATGATAAACACTCTTCAAAGGTGCGTATCATATGCACATTATAACTAAAAAATAAAATGGCATAACTCTTACTTTTTGAGTCATAACTATAAAAATAAAAAATAAAAAGTCATATCTAAACACAAAAAGTTATAATCAAATATCTCAAAATAATATCATAATTAAATAAAAAAAATTAGTGATAACTAAATAAGAAAATAACATAACTATGGGTGCATGTGATATGTATTGTATATAATAAAATTCTCTTTATAAATAAATGTATTTTTAAATTGATTTTAAATTAATTTTAGTGGAACAAATCTGAGTTTTCAGTAATTATATATTTTAAAATTTAATTTATTTACATGACTAATTAATCTAAAATAACTTTAAACCAGTCAAATAGAATGTTCACTTTTTTTTTCTTTCTTTCTTTCTTTTTTTTTTCTATTTAAGACAGATTAGTGTGGTTCCTGTCTCTTGTTTAGGGTACACAAAAATCCACTAAATCGAAGAATTGAACTTGAGTTGAATTTGACAATAATTAATTTTATTTTATTAACTATGTTTAAATTTGGGTTGAACTTTAATATACTATTCATAGTTGTGGACTTATATTGAATAATATTTTTTCCTTTATTTATGTTATTTTTAAATATTAAAAACTATTTATTTTAATTATTTATTATTAATTGATTACTCTATTTGGATCGCTACTAACTCAACCCATGCCCACGCATTGAAAGTGGTCCAGGCGAAATTGGCAAATAAACCGAGAGGCCCAGTAGATTATCTCAGCCCATTTAGTCTTGAACTCGATGGATCCGGTCCAGTCCAGTCCGAACTTTGACTCATTTGTACTTTATTTTTTGAATTTTAAAATTTAACAATTAACCATTTTAAAATATAATATTGTTATAATTAACTCTTTTTGTTAAAGAGTAACACAAAATCAAATCATATACAAAGTACATGACATATTTATTGAATTTTTAAGATAATAATGTTCTTATTTAAATGAGATAAATATAAAAGGAATCACTAGTTAAAGACATTATCATTCTAAAAAAATTGATAACGAGTATTATTCTTCTAAGAAATCAATAAATATTATATGTTTTATATATGATTTGATTCTATAAAAATTTCATAACATAATCTTAGTAGAAAGTGTTAAATGTAATAAAATAATAATTTGAAATGATTCACTATTATATTTTTTAGAATTATTTACATAGAGACTCGTTGAACTATAAAAAAATATAATTTTGCTTTCCTAAATTATAAAAGCATACACATTAATCTCTTAAACTATTGAGAAATAACAACCCCATAAACTGTAAAAATATACAAACAAACCCCTTAAATTATAAAAATGTATAAATCTAGGTCAAAATAAAATACGTAGTAGTTTAAGGGATTCATTTTTATGTTTTTATAATTTAGAGATGTCAAAGTGATATTTTTTTAATAATTTAGGCCTCGTTTGGAAACTCTCCTTTTTAGTCAAAAAGTCAAAAAGTTATTAAATTAGCCAAAAAGCCAACAACCCATATCAAAAAATCAAAAATTCTCTTTTCTCTCTACTTTTTGCACATCTTTTCGTAAAAAATTAAAAAATCATCACAAATATATTAATTATTTTAGTTCATATTTTAGCTAAATAGTTAAAGTGTTACTAAATTAACATGTTGTTTAACGAGGCCTTAATAGATATTTATGTAAATAACCTATTTTTGAAGCTCAAAAACAAGGTGTAGAAAACAGATCCTCATAAACCAACCCTTAAAGCACCAGGATCCTCTAGAGTGAAATTTTTCTAAAGTTTCCTAGAATGCTATATTGTGTGGTTGAAATTTATTGGCAAGTCACATCAGAAAAATTGATGTGAGTTGCCAATAAATCTCAACCACACAATGTAACACTCTAATTAAAGGGTCTCCTATAATTTACCCCAACAAAAAGGATACCATTACAATCATACAACCGTCCGATCTCTGAACCAAGGGTCCGCTTCTACTCTATCAACCGTTCGATAGATACAACCGCCTTGTTTTCTCTTTTGTGTATCTCTCTCCTCTTTTGGTTGTGTTGGTACGTAAATGTTTGATTTTGGTGTGGTGTTTTGAAGAAACACACACACACACACACACACACACACACACACAGTCTGTGTTGGTAGTGATGGAGAAAGAAGTGATTGCGCTGTTCGAGTCGGCGAAGAAAGCGGCGGACGCGGCCGCCGCAGGGGATGGATTCGTCGCGGAGGAAGAAGCGGTTGGCATTGATGCATTGAGCGGGCTTAACAAGTTTCATGTCGACTATGAGCTTCTCCTCTCCACTCAGGTACTTCTGTTTTTCCGTCCCTCCTCTTCGTCTTCAATCAATACTTGGTTCTAAAAGTTGCTCTCGATGATTGATTATTGTTAGTAAAGAAACGGAATTTCAAGAATTTTTAATGGTGGAACAGAATGCATGTACTACTGTTCAGAGAATGCTTCGTTGAATTCAGTAACAGCGTCTCCGACTTTTACTCTCTTTTTTTTTTTTTATCAAATTTAAAGTTTTCATCAGATTGAGAATGCCTGAAGCCCTTTGGACAACAACCTCTTCTTTGCTTGAGACTTTGAGTAAATTTACTACACTAAACGGTCGACCGGACGGACATCCTCTCGGTGGTTTGATGAAAAATGATTTTTTTTTTTTTTTGTTAGAACGCTGGATGTCATATAAAACTTTTACTCAAATTTTCATTTAAATTTAATATAAAAAAATAATAATAAACGTTGGAGATGCTATAATTATGCAAAATTTGAATCCATATATATATAGATTGATATAGATATATTCTAGAAGACTAGGTACATTGTCATGTTCAATTGAAACTATCAATAATACAATTTTTGATTTGTTGATTTTGCTTTTTAATCGTTACAATAACTACTAGGCACATAGATAAATATTAGGAAAAATATAGTGGTGCTGTGATTTTTTTGGGAATCAAAATAATGACGAACCTTCAAAAGTTGGTAAGATGTGTGCTTTATATAATAGAGTAGTTGCCAAAAGTGAAATTTCTTGTAGTGTAGTATGGTAGAGTTTTCATTTCAAAACAAAATATCTTTCAAACCAAATATGTACATTATATATTTTGGATTTTGTAAAACAAAATAAAACATGAAAGATTAAAAATTTTGATAGGAACATTCATAGTACCATCCACAGTAGTACCGTTATAAACCATTGCCTACCATATCTCAAAGTAAGACATGTAAAAAATAAAAATAAAAAAAAAAGAACAATACTACTACCAAAAGAATTTATATGAACATAATTTAAATTACAATCTGCCAAAAATAAAAAGTATATGAACACTATTTAAATTCGTAATGCAAATCAAACCTATACTTTTCTCAATAAATACAAAAATGTGTCTTTGTGCAAGTGTATTCAAGGCATGTCAATAATAAAAGTACACCATTAATGAGTATAAACATAATAAATCTGTAGATTGGGCTTGAAAGTTGTTTGGATTGAAATTCTCTTAAAACTTAAAAGATTTGTGGTTTCAAAATCTGCAATTTCAGCAACCCATGCGCATGTTATTCTAAGCTTGTAATTTTTGAACCGTAAGTGCAGCTGGATTTGTTAGACTAATCTGCCTATGTCTGCACGTAAAGTTATGGGTAAATTACATTTGCTTTTTCTGCAATCTTTATAATGAAAATACAAAATCGCAAATGGTGCAATATTTATAGTCAAAA